GTAACATATTCTCTGCCAGTTCAGCCCCTGACCCGCTCAGTGGTGGCTAAAAACGTTCAGCAGTCGCACGGTGCAGTTGTGCTGTGGGCAACTGGTGTGACGTTCTGGCCACATTGAAGGTGATTGCTCAACGAAACTTTCTAGGATAAAGATACAGATAGCATTTTAAGAACTGCATAAAGAGCAAAACAAGCATATTAGCAGCCTTATTAAAAAATAAATACTTGAACAAAATATTCTGTCCATGCCCTGGACCTCCTTTGAGCACACAACATAACTAAGACGATCTGATGCAGAGGGGAGGAACCGTTACTATATATAGCCCAGTCACTGGTACATATGATCACCCGTTACCAACGCTTTAAAAAATGTTTGACCATTGCTTTAAATCCACAAAAAAAAGTTAGAATCCAGAAGATATCTCTACAATTTGCATTCCAAGAAAGTGCCCATGCAGAACAAGGCTTTAATGCTTGCTGTTGGATATCTATACCTTCAATCTAGGAGCCATGGCCATTTAAAACCAAAACGTCCAGCTACGTCCTCATGTGCACAACAGTAATGCATCAGTCTGGAATTGTAATACGAGTGCAACAGTCCACTGTGCAGATCCCAAATTACTCCAGTCACGTTTTCTACAGAAGACTGAGTTTTACTCCCTGCAAGTGGAACACTGTCAAACTCCTTAAATTGACATCATGAAGTCGCTGTTTCTTATACATCCTAATTCATCAGCTGTCCCTCTTTGATCAGCAGAGACGGACGGCTGTTTGGTACAAACCAGGAGCCAAGCTCAGGTTTGCACTTCCATCAAAAATCAAATGTCAGCTTAGGCATGTCCACTGATCATAATCTGTATTAGAAGAAGGAAAATTTTCAAAGATTTCCAAAATCCTGTGACTTCACTGTAAATAAGTATAGCTTGCACGTGTTCTTCCTAAGTCACTGCTTATATAAAGAAGTGATACTGTGCCTAGCCTCCATTTCTAAACGTCCTAGGACAAATAATTTGCAAAGAAATCACAAGCAGAGGATAAAAAACAGCGGTTATCTTTTAAGCTCCTTCCTTTTCTTTCCTTCATTTAATTTGCTTACCTGACATAACTTTAATAGCAGTTACCTACAGCCTGTCGTTCTTCCATGCCAATAGCATTAAGGGAAGGGAGCCTCTAACATCTCTATTAAACTGCAATAAAGCAAATTCTTCAACATGGAATGCCTTAGTCAACCAGGCATTACTGAAATTACTTAATCTGCAAAGTCAGTACTTACCCACCCTGCTTTACCACTACCAATCACCTCACAAGAGTAGTAGCACTACCCAGATGCATTTCAGAGCTTAGTTTTAAAGTTTGTTTCCGGTGTACTATTTCAGTGAGGGTAAAGTGGAACTACAGACATACATGTAAGAGCTTTGTTTAATCTATGTGCACAACATTCACGTTTTTATTAAAACTTACTACAAGTGGCTGAACCCAAAGTTTCTTAGCAATGGTATCTTTCAGAACTGGGATGCTTTTTGCTCTGTCAGATTTTTTTCTTTCCATAAGTGCCCTAGTAAACTAAACGCATTCTTTTTAGAAGTCTTGAACTACGTAGGTTGTAGAATATACAAGGGATGTTAAATTGCAGTGCCTCAACATGAACAAATCATCCTAAACTTTTGAATATTTCCAAAGAGCAGAGTAACCTGTTCTTCATCAGAACCTGTTCTGTTCTTCATCAGAACCTATGGTTCAAGCTGGTGATGTGATAGCCTTTAAGATGATTTAGGGGCACGGTTCAGTGGTGGACTTGGCAGTGTTAGGTTAACGGTTGGACTCGATGATCTTCAAGGTCTCTTCCAACTTAAACGATTCTATGCTTTAGATGACAGAGGCAGTGTTTTCCTACTCACTCATTTGCTTTCCTCAAACCCAGCGTTCTTTTTGTTTGGTCAGCAGATGTAGATGATAAACTCAAGTTGGCAAAGGGGAGGGGGAGGAAGGACAAACAAACGTCTTCTAACACGGAGAGGGAGGGATTTGTTATGTGTTATTTCCAGAAAACTGAATCATCATAGTCACCTATAGTCTAGGCCACAATAAAGCTGTAATGATTTTTCCTTCATAACCATCCCTTCAATGAGCCTCACAATCTTTTGGGTATTTGAAAACTAGCTGAAAACACTGCAAATTTTTAGCCAACTTTGAAGGAAAAAAAAAAAAGAAAACAAAACACTGCACCTCCTACTCTAGATTTCGTGAGCTTTGTAACTTTCCACATTATTAAGAGATATATTTGGTTATGTGTAAATGATCAGCAAATTCTATCAATATTCAGTACTCTGAAATTGCATAATATTCAAAAAGCAATGCTACATTTACAAAGAAAACATACAACATTCCCAAGAGCTAAAGAACACATAAGAGAGGTACCCTTAGGCACCCGGGTCTCAAAAAAGCTGACGCTAACAGGGGTTACGAAGAAGGTTCAGTGACGGATTAGTTATTTTAAACGTTCTGTGGACTCTCCTGATCCTTTCCCCAAAAATCTGCTACCTGGTTCCATATTGAGGCTAACCTGGCTTCTCACTGGTTTCATCGGCGGAGCAAGTCCCCTATCTTTGACAAAAAACAAAGAGGAAAAACTCCAGTAGAGCCAACACCAGGAAGGCATGTTATCACCGCCTGTAGTCACTAAGTAACAGTTCCACAAACACGCCAACCTAAAAAAGGAAGAAATTTAGTCTGTTGGAAGATACACTGTAAACATGAGATAGCCAGGTAACCAGTGACAAACCATTATCTGACAGCCTTGAAAACCTCTCCATGTGAACTGCTTTTAAGCCAACTTGTAACAAATACCACATGCAGCTAAATTTAAAAAAAAAAAAAAAAAAAAAATCCTAAGCCAAGTTAAATAGTAACAAACGTTCCAATTTAACCATATAAAGCCTACGTTAAAATCCAAAATGACAATTACAAAATATTATGTTACTATGAGCACTGTCAAATGCTGTGAATAATAGTACACTGAGGAAATAAGGAAAGGCACACCTTACCTTGTATCTCATTTTGGGGCACGAATGGATGTAGAAACCCATATAATAAAAACAGAGATCGGGAGCTTTTTCATGAAGCTGTCGAGTAAAAGCGATTTCCCTGTGAAAGGAAAGAAAAGACTAATTACTTCTGAATACAATTCTTAGATTCATTTTACCTTTTCATATTGAAATATTTTACAGCTACCTGGCTCTTGGCCTACTTAAAGAACTAGTCTCCTATCAAATAAAAAATTAAGATAAACTCAAAATTAATGCTTAAAAAACCCCAAAGATAACAAACTGAAAATTAATGCTTAGAAATCGAACAAACAAATCACCAAAATGCAAAACACCATGTCAGGCTTAAAAACACTTTCATTTTTGTGTTTTGTCCTGTCAATTGACTGACTTGAAATTCAAATAAATGTGGCTAAGAACCTCTATCTAACAGGTTTCTTGTTAATATTCATGTACATTGGAATTCTACAGAAATTGTCCCAGCTATTATACACAGACTGGCTAACGTGGCTCAAGAAAATATTGGAGAAATTTTAAAAAACAAGCTTCAAGGATAAGCCTCTTATTTGATCTATTATTTGCATTCTAGTAATTTACATGTAAAAACATCCATCTTCACGCAGCAAAAGGTGCTCGTGTTTGATTGTACGATTTTTCTCATTTATTCTGAAAGAGAAGTGTGAATCTATTCCAAAATAAGTTCACTTTTTATTTTACTGGCACAAGGAAAGTAGAATTACTACAAATATTCAGCCAGTGTTTCCACTACAACGTTCATTTTTTACAGCATTTGTAACTTTGCAGTTCACTTTTGTAACAAATTAGATAAAACGCGGCTGTTGGTTCTTACTTCCAATGACAAAGGGATAAGGAGATATGAGCACGTGAATATATGAAGCATGTACAAACACTGGGGGGTTTTTATCCCTTAAATTAGTAGTGAGGATTTTTAAATATCCTGAAAACTTAACATTTCAGTTGCATGTAGTTTGCTGAGACCATCACAAGTTCATTATAACTCTGTATCTACATACATCCATTCAAAGAGGAGAATATCTAGAAATAAGTTACTCCATCTCTGAAAACGCAGGAAAATACAACAGATTCCAAAAATACAATTTATGTACTACCAAAAACGTTCAAACGTGTACTTCAGATACATAATCTTTAAGACATGGCATGAAGTTAAACGACCTTACCGTTTTATGCAGATTATCCTGGACCTGATTAAAAAAATACCTTTCTGCAATTCAAAAAGCTGGAATACTACAGGGAAAATGCATTTCAAAATCTCTTAAATGCTCATTCCAACAGGACTACACTATCTGATCTAATAAAATAAAAAGACTCAAAGTAAACAGACCATAATGTAACAAGGTAAAAATGGGGCTGCAGCAGCAAGTCTTACCGTGGGCAACAAAGCTTCCTGCAAGCGAACTGGTGCACATGACACCAAAGCTAGCTTGCTTAGAACTACTACCAGTGTCTTTGCCCATGCTACAGACTTCAGTGATCCGCCCTAGGTAAGGACCCTTAACACAAGTTCTTGCTCTGTCTTTCATTTATCTATTTGGCCGACCCTACTCCAGGCGAAGTTTTGCTGGGGGATGCTAAAAGCATCCTTCTCTTTCCTCTATCCAGGAGCGCGTGCTGTGATCCAACGCAAGAGAACCCTCCGACTCCATCATTTCAAACCAGGAGCAGCAATGAGGTGTCACTGTAATGCCTAAATCACATCTATTTGCATTCATTCTGCCTAAATCCCTATGGAAAATCCCTACGGATGGTACGTATCTAAAGAGTTACAAGGGCTGCTAGTGCTGGGCAAGAGTAGGCAACTAGTGAGGAAGACATACACTCATCCATTTCACCAAAACAAGATTCAGACTTAGTGTTTCAGTGCTACGTAACCCAATTCCAGAAGAAGTTCGAGCACTTGTCCTCTTACAAAACGGAAATTATGAATACTATGCTTGTCTACTATTCGTGATTTTAGGTAGCAGGGGAAAGGTTTAACTTTTTCATGCAAATAAGAATACGAATCACTCGGTATTTCTTGATATTTTTTTTTTCCTTTGGCTAGACTGGTATTTCACAAGTAGTTGCTTCTCCCCTCATTCTTTACTTACGTGCCTACATATTTCAAATGATCTTCAAATCCCATCCTTTCTACAACTCAGCAGCAAAAATTCTCCAAGTAGCATGAAGTGGAAGTGACAGCACTGCAATGCAGTTTAACCTCCTCGGAGTAAAATTGGCAACAGCTTTGAAGGTATCAGATTCCTTTGCAACTTCCTAAATCCTCCCTAACTCTCAAGGGGTTTTTTTTCCCTTTTGAAAGAAGAACAAGGTTGGCTCCTTCTAAGACTGCTGGGAACTCATTTTTATTGCCTTAAATGCTGCAGAATTTATAAGCTGCTTTTTCACTAGTTGAGCCACGCATGCATGTTGCACCGACAAAGTTTTAAATTTATTATGTAGAAAACCTAAAATCATTTCAAGAATTCATAAGCATGGATTATGTCAGTCTATTATTACATAAAGTAATGTGATACGTACAAATACTAAAAAACAACTCTTAGGAGGACTTAGTATTTTATGTTATATGCTCACCTTGCATGGAAAAAAGTAATAATCAGTAATTTCAAGTATCTAGCATATGCAATAAAATACTTCTAAAAATCTAGACCACTAACAGATAGAAAAAAGATCAATTCTAAATCATATAAGTTCCAACATTTTTTTTGTATTTGTTTTTTTTTTTGTTATTTGTTAATAATTAATTTTATAAAATGGCCAGTGCCACTGAATGCCTTAGAAAAAGGACAATTCAGACTCTTTTAGACACAGACCACTGGAGATGGTACAGCAACAACTACATTACTGCTCATGACGACTTTGAAGTTAGCCCTGATTCGCACTGGAACTGGACCAGATGACATCCAGAGGTCCCTTTCTGACTTAAACTCTTCTATGATTCTGCAGTTTCTCCTTCATAAAGAACCATTCCTGAACAAGGTGGGAAGAGCCAACAGGAAGGCAACATTATCAGCTCTTATTAAGGGTGACATACTTGGAGAAATTGCACTTTTGGACTTAACTGATCTACGAGCTTACCAGAGAGAGGGAGAAGGTCCTGTTCTCTCACTCCCTACCCACTCTCAGCTGCACATTGTGGTTAAATCACAACTCTTGCACCAGCTCTGGTGTTAACAGGTTCTTCACTGAGCCAACCCAGCTCACTAACCAGGCTGCTAAAGCAAACAGTCTTCTGCTCAGTAAATTAAGCTGGCTAAAAATATGGTTCCGAGAAGACCAGCACATAGCAGAGATGGAGAGGAGTGATTGCAGTACCTCATTCCAGCAGCAATAAACCATTATTAGATTGATGTCAATGACTTAACAGTGAACTTTGGGGGAAAAAACCTTTGACATATGCATTTGAACAACTCATGTAAAGATGATCCAGAAATCACAAAATTCACCACTGCAAAAAGAAGAGTACACCCAAAAGGAGAATCAAGTAAAAAAATAGAACACTATTTTTTGAGGAAATCAAAAGATCCTAATCAAAATTTAAACAAATGATGAGCGATTAGACTTCTGAGAGATTAAATTGCACGTCGTTTATTAGTTATCAGGAAAGTATATGAAGTAACTGTGATAAGAAGAGGTTTCCTAAAAACAGTGTTTATTCTTTACATATTTCAAAAGTCATGTCATATTTACCCACTTTTGTGGGTAACACTAAACAATGGCTAAGAAACTCCACCTATAGAGAAGACATCTCTCAACAGGATGCCTTGGAGAAAGAAGAAAGCTGGATCTCACAATTCTAGCTCTACTTTCATGCCTGAAAGAGTGCAATGCAAATCTCAACAGGTTGAAAACTTTTGCTAGACCTTCTCAGACCTGGGAAAACTTCAAAACAGACATATCTGGCACAAGGTTCAATCCCAGTTGCTTCATGAGAACCTCCCCAGGAACACCATATTTCTGTGACCAGCTTAATTCATGTAAACAGAGAAATAAAAATGCTAAGAAAAAAACTGAGATGCACAAATATTTCCTCTCATTTATGAATCATAAAATTGCTTATAGAAGAAAAACAGTAACTTGCAATTTAGCAATCAATCTTACAGTGAAAAGGATTACTCACTACTCCTACTGTTTTGCAAGACTAGGTTGTTGATAGTTAATTATAAAATTCATATAGTTAAATATAAAATTATAAAATTCATAGGACTACTCTCTCCATCAGGCTTTCTAGAGACAAAGATAATGAGATTAACATACCTGAAAAATATACTTGGTGCTAGTACAGCAGGAGACTACTAATTCAGAAGACAACAGTTTTTAGGTACTCTATTATTTATGATCTCAATGTGCATAAAACTATAAAAGTGATTAATTTCATTTGGGGACTGGGCTAAGAAAAAGGTCAAAGGAAGAATTA